TGCAAAATGAGATCAATGAACTTGACATAACTTGACCAACAGGAGGACGTGGATGAATTTTGGAGCAGTTTCGATGGCTTTGGGTCTTGGTCCTTTCCCTCTTCTAAGGCCACGGCATCAGCGCTCTGTGGGCGGTATTTGACAATTGGAATACTCACATAAATACGTAGAATATCTATAAAATTCTATGAATATGGTAGAACACCAAAAGGACCATTCTTTAGAGGCATTCTTTAGACGCGTTCTTTGCAAAGTTGTTCTATTCTGAAATGGCCGTGTTCACACATATCTGTCTCAGATTGGTTCATGTACAGCAAGGATACAAAGCGCATTCCAGTCTAAGCATCCTCTGGCTTTGGTGTTTGATACGTCAATGATAAGTACCGGAATTCCGGCATTCACCAATCCTTGTTGCTTATGGGCCCTCTTTGAACAAGTTTTATTGCTGTCTCCTGATCCAGATATCTGGGAAAACCCATCCAATTGTACTATACACGCTGAGCCCATCAATGAGACATGATGAGACCGTGTGCTGGAGGTTTGCCAAGTGAGCTGGAGTGGTCCCAAACAGGGGCTGAAAGCTCATGTGGATCGCTACAAAAATAGTCCTGTGATGCACAAGAGACTCGTCGGAACTAGGCAATGACCTTTCATAGGCTTTTGAAAAGAGTTCAGCTCAACAATCCCCAGATTGAGAGCTCCTAAGAGTATGTGCTCGTATCTTTTCGTGGAGTTCCACAGCCGTGTGATTGGACCGGAAATGAAAGCGCAGAATGAATGATAAGTCCAAGAGCTTGTTCACTGCTTCTTCTTTGCTGCTTGGATTTCGTTCCAAGATTTGACAACAAGACGCTGTGTGATGTAGTGTCAGGACCGGGATAGACTAGGAAGAATCCATCTCAAGGCATTGGAGATTGCAGTAAAGTCATGTAAAGTCCCTGCCCAAGATTGTAAGGCAATCTAATATAAGGCATTCAAGAAGTATAGTAGCACCCTTGCATTGAAGTCAAAAGGAGGGCTTGCAGTGGGGCGTTTTTTCAAGGGTATCCGGTCCATTTGCAATGTGCAATATTGTGCAATATTGTGCATGGGTAAAGATGAATTGATTGCGGATGCGGTGCCAAGGAGTGTTCCTGACGAATACAAGCCCATGATTCTCTCGCAGGGCATCCCGAAACGCTTCCCAGCGCCGACTATTCGAGTCCAACACCCCAAGAAGGCGCCTGAATGCGCCTGGAACATGGCTAGTAGATGCTACTGGTAGTAGTAATTAGATGTAACTACTAGCAATTAGATGCAACTAGCAGCTTAGTGTCATGCACCCTGCCGGTGGTCATCATGGCCATTGGCCTATGATGAAACCATCCTTTTGCCGCAGCTTTGCAATATTGGAACGTAGATGCGCAGCAGAAGATATTGCCATGTGCAAGCAGCCACCAAAGCTGAAAAAAATGGATGTGCATAGTGTGAATGGCATTCTGATAGGTAAAGGATATTTAGCCAGATTAACCGGTGGAATTGGTTGTATACCCTAACTTCAGGCAGACTGAACCGAACCAGTGAATCTCAAGTGGCATCACCCTTGATATTTTTTACATTCGCAGCTGATCGGCTCCGCTGCTAAGTGGCGTTGCAGGCTGGCAAGCACTGACTTTGACTGACTTCCAATTCTGGCTACAGCAGTTTGAGCCACTTGGCTTACTCTGAGAAGTTCGACAATGTCAGATGCTCTGAATTGATTTCAAGATGGGCATGCAATGGGAGAGAGATGCAGAGAAGTGTGGTCATGAATCTTGTTAGGGCCTCAGGACCATGCATTCGCATCGTTAGATATCGTTGGCATCTATTTCCATCCTGATTCTCACGCTTGCTTCTTTGTTGTTCACAACGCTGTTTCTATGATGTGCGTGGCATTTGCTTGTCCTGGTCTTATAGAGAAACTAAACTGTTTCTCTGTTTCTCTAAAAATTTATCTATGTTTCTTTACTGTTGTTGTCCACGTTGTCCAAGTTGTCACAGCGAGGCCGCACGAGGCCGTATGATGCCGCATGCGGTTGTTGTAAAGTCTGATGCCAAGGAGGCAGGGCCAAGGTAGTGCCACCAAGAGGTTTGGGTGTACATCTCAGCCGCACATCGCATTTTGCACACAGTCTTGCATTGTTTGCACCAGCTATGCAATCAGAATACGTGTGCCACGCAGTATAGGTCTTATGATCATCTACGGTTCCAGTGTACTTCCTGCTTGATATTCTTGATCCAACTTAATATTTTGCTGTTTGGGTGTTGGAAAGAAGCACCGACATTGTCGCTGCTAATGGTTTCCAAAAATCACAACCAAAGATTCAAGTCGAATCCTCTTCCCTGTTGGTGGACCCACTTTCCCAATCAACAGTGAAGCAGTAGCTTTTATTTAGCCTGTTCACTTGTAGTTTAATCTCCATGATATCAGTTCAATTGTTCATGATTTCGTCTGAAGTCGTTATCGTTGAGATATGATTTCACTATAATTCAATGCATTACATGTGTGCAATTGAGCGTGGGCTTTGTGTGTGCGCCTATTTTCAACCTTTGTATCCAGATGCGTCACCCGCAGCCTAAGAAACGCTGCTCTGTCGCTCATAGCTGTTCATCTGCCCAGCACGCCTGTGTTGGAGGGAACAGATTCATCATCATTCATATAGTTAATATGACAACGAGATACAACAAGCCGTTCGTTGAATGCTTCTGAAGTGTCTTGCTCATAGAAACTTGAGTTGCGCCAATACAGCAAGAGACCATGCATTGACGTGTGTTTTTCTCCTTTCAATCGAAGTTCGAAAAAGTACGCAGTGTAAGTTGCGAGCCTTGCTGGCGTGAAGCGGTAGACAATACTCTAGACTCTAGCCACCTATAGCCATCATTAGCCATCTAAAGCCACAGCCACCTTCAATTCCAACCACACTTGAATTTGTGGGTTACTGGTGTTCCAATGTTGTGGCATCCAGACAGAATCATTCATGACAACGCTGCTAAACTGCCAAACGAATCGAGGGAAGTGCTGGATGGATGACATATGTTGAAATTATTTGAATAATTCAATTCGTCTTGCACGCCATGCCCTTCTTGCCTCACATTGACATGGTGAAGAAGAGGTGACATCAAATCTCAACAATATCTACGACGTCTCAGCAGAGGGAGATTCGGATCTCCCAGCTTTTCCCAGTCCGGCTGGCTGAATAAAAGGTAAATGAACGGAAACAGAATACTTGTATTATGGAATAGGCACAACATGATTACTTTCTCAGAATGCTGGTCTTCCAATGACAGAATCAGTATACAGTATACTTCGCAGTAATCAGCATAAGCTGGGCCGATGCCTCGTACTGGTGTATTTGCAGAGTCAAATCCAGACCAGAATGGCCCACTTTCCAGATGACAACTGATTCTTGGCAACACGAAGAATGCCGGAACTGCGACACGGAAATTGCAGCTTTGCCGGTGTCAACTGCTGAATCATACTCACCCCTGCACCCCTTATCACAATTATTGAATTATAGTTGTATTGTGTATGTTATAGGGAGTTTGCATGAGTTTGCAACTAGTGTTTCAAGCGGCCTTTAATTCATCCCCTTGAGTTTTTGACCACCTAAGTCGCTTTTTCCCACACCAAGGGGCATGCTAGATCATGCTAGAATCTTGATTTATCACATCATGGAAGTCTTCCAGCCAGCATGTGAAAGAGGGCCTTCCTGATGGTCAGCCGCTGATGATGATTCCTTTGTGACGCATTTTGTGCCTTCTCTGAGAGTACCACAGTACCACCAAGATATACCAGGATCATCAGGCTACGGCACTGATACGTGTTTCATTTCCCAAAGGGTTGGGGCTCAAAGACCTCAGCGCCGTCCTGCACAGCACCCCATGACAAGCTCCGAAGTGTGGCAAGTGGTCAAGGCTCAGTCACTCAGCAATGCCCGTCTTGCCATGCATTTACCTTGTATTTACACAATAATCGAAGGATGTTTAGAAGTCAAACTTCCGACAATAGGGACAGATGGAAAAGCAGTGGTGGGCAGAGGCAGAGAGAAGAGAAAGCTTAGAAGAGAGAAAGAGTCAGAAGAAAGAAGATGCAGGCGCGCAAAAAGGTACTGTAGCAAAGTCGCGACTCACTCTGTTTTCCATGATTTGTGGCTCCGGAGGGTCGAAAAGTAGGCTCGCTAAAGCGGCGGGTGCAGAGCCATGTGGCCATGCGAGATGAAGAATTGCACGTCGTTGTGCCGCGAAGCACATTTCCAAGTCAAAATGTACAAAGCACACCAGGTTCGGACCGCTTTTGGAAGTTGAGATGTTCAAAAAGCGCACGCCGTTGTGGCGCGAAGCACATTTGGAAGTCAAAATGTACAAAGCACATTCGGACATCACCACCCTTTTCGTGGGGTGTAAGCAAGGGGGGCGTTCAAAAAGTGTAAGCAACAATTTTGACCCCTGCGTATTTTTTCCCGATGGGGAAGGCTATTTGTATCTTAGACCCCTCCTACGTCAAAAACCGTGCCCCGGAAGATTTACATTTAGGGAGGGGGGGGTGAAAGTCCGTAAGAGATAGGTCACCCCGTACCCCCCTCCGAACCCCCCCCGTACTCTACGGATAGGGGGCTGTAGCATTTCCAAAAACAATGGCAGGCATGCGGCATTTGAAGAGGAGCTGGAAAGATGAATTTCGCGTGGCAGGTGCAGTACAAGAGAAATGTCCATCAGAGATGTTAGGAGGTCAGGGCGCTGATTTCCTGAGAGTGGGTTGCATTTTGGAGCATCAGATCTTCAAGTTTGCCAAGATGATTTTGTGTGGCAGGTGCAGCACTTCGTACGACCTGGCATCACTTTTTTGAAAAATCGCAAAACGCACTGGTACGAGGCCGTCAGCTCTGCACTCAACTTTCCATCTTTGAAGGACGTCTCGCAGAATTGTTTCGTTTTTGATGTTGTCAACCTCAAACTGAGGAAGTCTCGCAGAATTGTTTCGTTTTTGACGTTGTCAAGTCAAAAATTGAGAAAGCCTCGCAGAATAGCTTTGTTTTCATGCTCGCAGAAAGAAAGAAAGATAGATAGATAGGTAGATGATAGATAGATAGATAGGCAACTACAACTACCACTGCCAGCACACTACAGCAACAACAACTACTACTACTACTCCTCCTCCTCCTGCTGCTGCTACTACTACTACTACTACTACTTCTACTACTACCACTACCACTACTCTCTACTATCTACTATCTACTATCTACTATCTACTATCTACCTATCTACTATCTACTATCTACCTATCTACTATCTACTACTACTACTACTATTACTACTACTACTACTACTACTACTACTACTACTACTACTACTACACTACAACTACACCACACTACACTACAACTACAACTACACTACTTCATACAGACTACACTAGACTGCACTACACTATACGACACTAAGAACACACAACACGAGAGTACACTACACTACAGTACACCGCGCTACATTACACTACATTACCCTACACTACTTTACATTTAAAACTACAGTACTACACTAATTGCACTACACTACAACATACTACAACTATAACTCCACTACAGTACAACTACAACTACAGCTGCGCTACACCACACTACGTCCAGCAGTTGTGGGTGAGGTGACCACTGCAACCATTGCAACCATTCCAAAAAACATAACTCCGACCACCTTTCGGTCCGGCAATCGGTTCGCTCTGCCATCCGTGATTCACAACAACCAATCTCTCATAGGTTTCCTATTTTTGAAACTTCCGCCACAGCCTTGTGCGGCACTATTGGTATTTATATACATAACTTAACATTGGACGATATTAGATTTGATTTCGTTTGCTTTAGCCCACACGCAAAGCAATCGCTTCTTTCCACCGATTGGGTCGTGTTGTTCCTGGCCACCGTGTTCGCACAAACAATGCGGAATGTGAATATGATTCGGATATGGTTGGAAGATGTTGGAAGTGAGTAGACAGTTCGGTTATTAGCCATTGAATCAGCCATGCAGGGTGACAGCGACAAGGAAACGACGCCAGGAAGCTCCCCGAGGCTGCATGCAATTGAGGTTTGTTTGCTTGCTGACGTGTAGCAAAAAGGTGAGTTGAGAAACCCCATGCTACTCTTGTTTCAAACATTTATTCCTTTACATGTCATTTGGATTTTTGATCCATAAGACGGCTCTGCAATAAATTTGGTTTGATGCTGTCAATGCAGATGAATTACTAGTAATGAAACAAATATCAAATATTTATAAGTTCATAGTCACAGGCCAGGCAAGTGTTTAAAAAGACGAAGGTTTTGTACAAGTTGAAAGTTTCTATGTTTACATCCAAATTCACAAACATTTCCAGGAATTGACGTTTGCTTCTAGATGAGTTGCTAGATTTCAATTGTTCAGCCCCAGAAAAAGAATTGCGGATTCCATTATATTGTGTATGGTCCGTATGGTGCACAATGACTTGATAGTTTGCACCCACGACATTGGAAAGACTCACGCGCAGAAATGCAACAGTTTGTGAATGTAGACAGAGCAACAGTTTGAAACGGCCCCCCTTGCCCCTCACCATTTTTGGAAGATAAATACTAAAAATATCGACAAATCGGCAGTGGAACGTACCTTAACATGGTTCACATTCGATCACCATCGATCCCAAGATGTTTCAAGAGAGGGGAAGTTACAGTATAGGCGATCCAGTTTGTGACTACATTATTTTGTAGCGCTACTGTAGTGGGAGTTGGCTTCTCAGACTCCATAGATATCCCACGCTGGGATCGTCGGAGATCCCTTTGTCACTTGGTAGGACCGGTAGGATGCAAGAGGATTCGGAGGTTGGGTGTACTTGCGGCTCCCGATGGGTCCATGGGAGAATTCTGGCCCTTCACCTGGATGGCTTCTCTTGTGACTCGAGAATTATCAATTCGAATTGGCACCCTCAACATGTCTCAGCAAATCTCAATAGGATTGCTCATCTGGACCATGGTGCGTAGATCACCTTACATGGTTTTGTTGGACTTTTCTCTTGCCAAGTAGAGCATGGTAGCTTGAAGCTTTACAGGAAAGAAAGTGATGAGTGTTTTCATGGCATTCCCATTTTCCCTATATGTTAGCTTAATTTTGGTCTCAAGGAGAAAATTTCATCCATTGGGGAGTGGGTCACAACAAGTCACAACAAGTGGTCAATACACATTTTTTTCAAGCTCTTTGCACAGACCATCACGGACCATCACGGACCATCACGGACCATCACGGACCATTGAATCTGACGCCTGCAATGCCATGTGTGCCTTGCAGGATGAGTTCATTTGCCATGTGGTGGTGAAAAGCACCTTCATTGAGTGACTTAGTCTCAACCAGCTCTCTGGACCAAGTCCTATTGACAAGACATGACAAGAGGTTTTTGAGTCTTGCATCTGAAAGCACAATTTAGATGTTTGGTAATTCATCAATGGAACCCTTGCAACCGCGTTTTCAGCCCTCTCATTTTGCAGCTCAGAATTGACGATTCAATGTGAGGATATGATATAACCTGTGTACTGTACTGTAATACTCTGCAAGTTCACTGAAACAGAACATGAAATGACATTGGTGCCGAACTCAAAAAGTCGAAGCAATGAAACACCCTGGACAAAATAGACCAATCACCAATCACCAACAAAGGCCAAAAGTACAGATTGTACACCTGATTCTTCACTCGTGGTGCACCTCACTCCCAGGGTGACCAATGGCTCCAGCATGATGCAGCGTTTCAAGAAGTTCCGAAAGTCTAAGACGGAGCGTGGTTGGCAAGGGGCCAGGCCTTGGGGTTTGACACAAGATACGAACTATGCCAAAGGATTAGTGATGATATCTTAGAATATATTAGATAAATGGCAATATGGCAATCCATGCATGTTGCTAAGATGCATTGAAAGATATTGGCACAATTCCCATGCGTTTAAAACTCAACTCTTTAGCCCTTTATTTCAAGAATGCAAGGTGGTCTGTACATTTGACTACGTGATACCAAGTGATACCAAGTGTATGTTTTGCCGACAGTGGGTCTTGTACCCTTATTGGATAAACGAAATAAGTTTTATTTGGAGTTCAAGCAGCTGCAGGCTGCCAGATTTGCATGAAATTCCATTTGATGACCCATCTGACCCACTGAGTCGCTCCAGTCGCTCCAGGACTCAGCTTTACAAGATTTCACTGAGGAGGAGATCGTCCTGTCTGATCTGAAGCTGGAGAAACAGGACAGTGCCGATGGCGTTGACTTCCATGTGAAGAAAGGATGAAGATGTTGGAAGTTTAGCAGTTTGAATGTTGATCACGTTCAAGACATTTTAAGACACACTGAAGAGACAGGAAGTGACCATCTTTAGTACGAAGACTAGCATTATGCAACCTGCTGGCGACTCCCAGCTTTCATTCGTTTCATTTCGGGAAAGATACGGCACAAGCTATGGCAGTTATGGGCGGGGGATCGCCCTTCCCATCTCAGGAAGTGCCAAAGGATGAACCACTTCCGAAACCTGCAGAGAGACCTGCTGCCAGGAAGTCTGTGCGAACACTGTGCGAACACTGTGTGAACTGTGAGCAGAATGATCAGACTGAAGATTTCTGTTCTTGCTTCTGTGGCGGCATGTTCATTTTCTTTAGTAGACAAGAAGTCAGCTTTGCTCAACTTCTGTATCTACCTACCCTTTCTCTACCTCCCTCTCTCTCTGTGTTTTGTCATCCACGGAAGCAACCTTAGTGCAACGTTTTTTTGTTGCTGAGTTTTGGACGACTTTGCATGTATGTGGCAGAGTTTCCAAGCTTGCTGCATATACCTGGTTGACCCCGGGTGACATCAGATGCATATTCGGACAAAGAATTCCTAGATGCAAACCTGCTGGCATGCATGATTTGTGAACATGTCCAAGTATCTAATCCTTTTATAAAATATATGTGTGGATCTGTGGGGTATGTGAGGGGATTCCCAATTGGGCTAACACAGTCGCCCAAGTTGCGGTCATCCTTGGTGCATGTCCTCTTGACCGATGAAAGAAGGACGGGCTGCCCAAAGACTACGGTCATGATGCGGAACATCCCAAACAACTACACCAGGCGCAAGAGATGACATGGTAACACAGTGCGCAGTTGAGTGCAATTTCAGACTGTGTCTCTTTTTGGTATATCCATGAATATCCTCTAATATCATCTAATATCCTCTATATCATATATCCATAATGAGCATATTATCATATATTCTCTATGTACCTTCACCTTTTCTGATCGTATCTTGCACAAAGATGCCTTACCCCCTGTGCGCGCTTCGTTGAATTTGTCGTGGCCAAGTGCTCTACACGTGCCACAGGATATATTTCACCAATTGGCACACGTGCGCTTCAGATTGTATGAACAGATAATCATTGTGGCAACTGGTGCTGAATAAACGGGAAAAAAGGATTTACTTTCTTCCCCAAATCAAGCCAACAACCAAGGATATGAACGACTGCTTCACAATCCAATTCACCACGACTTGGATAGACAAGGTGGATAACATGTTTATATAATTTTATATAAAGATATATTTTAAATAAAAATATAAATATGTCGCATTTTTGGAACACGGAGCCCATTGGCCTTGAGAGGAAGATGTTCTTGGAGCTTCTCAACAAGCATGGATTGCAATCGTGTTGCCTGGCATTGTGCTCGTACTAGTGGTATCTAGTAAATCTAGCAGTGCTCTTCGTGATTCTTTGCCCTTTGTGTGCCCTGAGTTCACAGCAGTACAAGCAGCAAATACTCCATGATCGAGTCGTATCAAGTCCGAGGTTATGACTTCATTTACTTGCCTTACGACTTCCAGCGGGATTCCAACCTTGGTTATGCATTCGTGAACCTGCGGGAAGAATCTTGGCAAGTGATTTCTAAACAAAGCGGAACATATAATACAGATTAATACAGTATATGCAGGAAGGCTTGCACATGCGGTTTGTCGATG